TAACTAATTAAATGAATCGGAATTAAAATCTGAAAACTTATTCGATTTATCCAACCAAATAATCTATCGACTAATAGTCGAATTTAGAGTATTATTGACTGAATTTCTTGATCTTGAACATGAACATAACTATTTATTAACAAAGGCTAGCTTAAAACTAAAAGCTAGTATTTTCCTTTATTAATAAAACTCGGGGTGTTACAGCTTGGATCTCACCCAAAGAATCAAAGCAACAACAATCATGTGCACATGCCTATTTAATATCTTACGGGTTAAGAGCACGCAATAATTAACTGAGGCCTAGATCGTTTATGATGATTAGTATAAAACGAACCTCCCTCTCTGGGATCCTGTTCAATACAGAAATATACTAGTGCAACTAATCCGTTAAGACAAACCGTACGGTTGACACTACAACCGTTCCGATGGGTTGTTCAATACCATCTAGGTTGTGAACCAACGATTCTTGTTTCACAAGTAACTGATATAGTGATCTTCGGTACGCCCGATGACGACCCACTTATCTACATGCAAAACAACAGAACGTGGAACTTATTTAACCAAACATAATTCTCATTCATCAAGGAATAACAAGTGTAATATCCACTAAAGCAAAGCTTAAGTATATAACACCAACACTTACATGGCATGGTCGCAGGATGAACACAATCATTAAATATCCCACCTCCTACCCAAAGTCATAAATAATTCTCATGTGCACACCTATACCAATATACTGCTGCTTGTATGCCCTTCGGCGAACATAAATGGTGTGCCCAAACAGCAAGAGGCTCAACTGTCACAGCACGCACCTAGTTCTTGGACAAGATATCCATCACCGGCCAGGGCACATTGCCAAGGTCTTACAGATGACGTGGTCCTTAGCAAAGGACAAATGAGGAGATTACCCTTTGTTGGGTACGTTCTATAGCTACGGGGATAACCGTTCGATGGCCGGCACAACTCACATGGAAGATTACATATTCACATGCATACATTGATCATACCCACATAAATAAAAAAAATTATTATTCATCGCATAGAAAATTTTGAATAACCCACCTCGTCGAAAGTGGAGGAAAGCACAAACAATATAGGGGTAGGCGGGGAGCTCGACTGGTCAAGCACCTACAACAAGTCAAGATACTACACTCAATATCTTGACCTTAGATGAAGCACACAAATCATACTTAGTCGAACTTGATTCAACTAAGTCGTTCGTGGAGTTCTGTGGACTTTGGGACACTTGGACTCGACTCGAAACCAATTATGGAAAACACACCAATTTAAGATGGTCAAGAAAACGAATGAGTTAAGCCTTAAAATTTTAACACAAAATTCATACCACTGGACATAGAAATATCACCAAGTTTCAACCCTTAACTCAAAACACATGACTTTATAAAATTAAACCAAGTTTTCAGCAAATACGAGCACAATTTCAAAGCTGAACCATATGAACGAGTTAACACTTGAAAATTTTACACAGAAAACTACAGCTTGACCAACTTATAATATTTCCAGCTCCAAACATAAAACACACGAATTATGAAAATTCTGACAATATTCAGCATGAAACTCATTTTAATTAAAAACCGATCATATCGAACATATTAAATTCTGAAAATTTTATGCCAAGTAACAACATTAAAAGAGCATGCTCATCAATTTTCAACAATTTACAGCAATAGGTCGAATTTTCATAATTAAAACGTTTTTCAGCATAATTACACAAACAATTAATTACCCTAGCTAACAAAGTCCAAAAATTATGAAATCTTTACACAACATCAAGATATGACAGAGGAACAA